GCCTCCCTGTCCCTGGAGGTTTCAAGCATCACCTTGGCACGGCTGCGCTGCGCTTGGGGATGGCAGCTGGGGGGGTACAGGTGGGGGGCTGGAGCATCGTGCTGGCCCTAGCTGGCCCACCCTGGCCCCCCCATTAGCAAGGGAAAAGGGGGTGGCCCCAAGCACAAGCAGCCCCGTGCTTTTGGGTACAGCTCCCCACCGCCGCAGCATCGCGGTGTTTTTATTCGGGGTGGGGGGTGTGAGTTCATCAGTGAAACAGCTCAGGCAGGGACACGGGGCATCGTCCCTTCCGCCGGGCACCTGAACCGACAACGCGTGGCTCCAGTCGTACCCACAGATTGGCGGTGCCAAACCAGGGGAAATCCCCCAGCCTGATAGCTGGGTCAGCGCCCAAATCACGTCAGCCACTTGTGAAGAACCCGTTGGGCTGCTGCTCATCAGGCAAGCCAAGGGAAACAATAAGGAAGCGGGGCCTTTAACGCCAGCACAGAAGGGTTTTACTCTTCCCATTGACACGGACCATACCTTCACAGCTCATATAGATTTATGTTTCTTTCTGGGACCAAGGTATGAGACTTACAACTGCTGCCACCCCTTAATGAATAATACTGGAGACTCCCCCTGCTCTCCCTAATTTGCTGACTTCTGAATTCAAGCTGCAGAAGCCATCTCTGATATTATCAGACTATATATATATATATATATATTTAATTAAAATATATCTCAGTTGTCGGCATTTCTCCCATTTTTCTCTTTCTCCCTGATCCAAGATCTCCAAGCAGAAATAGCCAAGCTGGGCATGGATTCAGGCAGGAAAACACCAGGGTTTCATTTGAAATCAGAGGCTCTAAAGGGATGTTCTCCACGTCCAGCCTGCTGTAAAGGGATGTTCTCCTCCACCTCCAGCCTGCTCTAAAGGGATGTTCTCCTCCACCTCCAGCCTGCTGTAAAGGGATGTTCTCCTCCGCCTCCAGCCTGCCCACCTGAGGATGTTTCTGCGCCCGATACTCATCACCACCCTTGGTGGAGGTAATTGCCTCCCCGACTCTGTCTAGCACCGTTAAATCTATTTAAGGCAAGAATGACGACGTTTTTATGTTGATTTGGGGTTCTGTTTTTAAAAAGATATGTCCTGAGTGGTGTCTAAACATTGTTTTCTCCTAAAGCCTGATCCATGCCAAGATCGGTGGATAAGGAACTGGCTGGATGGTCGTGTCCAGAGGGTAGTGGTCAACGGCTTGATGTCCAGATGGAGACCAGTGACGAGTGGTGTCCCTCAGGGGTCCGTACTGGGACCGGTGCTGTTTGTTTTCATCAATGACTTAGACAGCGAGATCGAGTGCACCCTCAGCAAGTTTGCGGATGACACCAAGCTGAGTGGTGCGGTTGACACACCAGAAGGATGGGATGTCATCCAGAGAGACCTGGACAGGCTGGAGAGGTGGGCCTGTGTGAACCTCATGAGGTTCAACAAGGCCAAGTGCAAGGTCCTGCACGTGGGCCGGGGTAACCCTCAGTATCAGTACAGGCTGGGGGAAGAAAGGATGGAGAGCAGCCCTGCCCAGAGGGACTTGGGGGTGCTGGGGGATGAAAAGCTGGACATGAGCCAGCCATGGGCGCTGGCAGCCCAGAAGCCAACCCTACCCTGGGCTGCATCAGGAGAAGCGTGGCCAGC